AGAGCATTCAGACTTGGAGTTGGGTGAATTTCGCGAACCCGTTCCTGATGAAGCTCCTGGGTCTAAGAAGAGATTCGAGAGGGAAAATTCTTATAAAAAATCAGAAAACAAACCAACGAGTTCGGAGTACTGGAACTCAGATTTAGGTAAAGGAAAACCTTCTAATAAGATTACTTCAGATTCAAGGAAACTGTCTTCACCCAATGCAAACATTGTGGCTTCTGGCTTTCCAAATGGATCATTGAAGAGCCAAACACCAGAACACTATGCTGATGATATTTCAATATCTCACCAAAAAACTGTGCAATCTCAACCACAGCAGCACCAATCTAGACATATTGAAGGCGGGGGGACTAGCTTGGAATCTCATCAGGATACGTACAGCAGAGTGCCTGTAAATGCACCAGCCGAGCAACGTGATCTGAAACCAGTTCTCCCATCTATGAAAGAAGGCAAGAATAAAAAATTCAATGCAAGTGCGAATTCAAGTGATAAAAGGAAAGATGCTTCTTTGACAGGGAGCAATGGTGGAAATCAGAAACGGAGAGAATCTTCATCTGATGAGAATAGTTGTTTGTATTCCAAGTATGAGAAGGATAAGCCTGAGCTGAAGGGTCCAATAAAGGATCCCTCACAGTAAGTATTAACATGATGCTTTTCATGAATGACATATTTATATCTTCAACTGTGCATATTGTTGAAAACCTCGACTTTTATTGCTTCTATCTAATATAAATACCGTCCTATCTTCAGGTATAAAGAATATGTGCAGGAGTTTCAAGAGAAATATGAGAGCTATTGCTCCTTGAACAAAATCTTGGAGTCATACAGGTATTTGGCAAGTTCTAAGGTCCCATTCTTGAATTTTGGCTTTAATCTTTTTCAAAATAGATTATTTATCAATGCTGAATTGGCATTCTAGTTCAGTTGTCTAATCTGTGTGTTATGCATGTGCTTAGGGATGAGTTCAATAACTTCGGGAAGGACCTTGAGGTGTACAAAGGAAGGGATACAAAGAGATATCATGACATTTTAGGACAGATGAGAGCATCCTTTCGTCAGTGTGGGGAGGTATATTTAATTTTTGTTTCATAGATTATTAAGTGCTATATTGTGAATATGTAATTAGTCCATTGACAAGAAATTGTTAAGGAATCACATTCTACTGTATGCCTATTAATGCAATCAGAGTGATCTTCAGTTGAGCAGTCTATTCACTTGTGAACCTCTCTATATTTGTACGAAAAATCTGCGTGGCAGAAAGATACTTGAAACAATTTGTGAATTGGTTACTTTAAATAGATTTGTTTTAGCCAAAAACTTCCACTAGGTTTAAGTAACGTTACAGGATCATGATCAGCCTGACATAGAATCTGAGAGAAGATCAAATATGAAGATTAGAGTTGTCAAAAATGCATTTATTTTATGAACTGATTTCTAAGGGTGTTATTGATTGGTCTTAAGCCTTGTCATTTGTTTGATGTTAAAAATATATACCATGATATGCTATGAAAACATCTGAACATTCTCTTACAGGGAAGCAGCCTTTTCTCGAATCCTATATTTCAAATTCTAGTCAAAGTTATATTAAAACCAGTTGCACCTCTATTACAGAGCAATGGCTAATTTATTGATGTCTTATCTGTTTAGTGAGTTGCTACAAAGTGATCTGTACTGCAATAACGTTTAAATTTGTGCAGAGACACAAACGACTGAAGAAGATTTTTATTGTGCTTCATGAAGAGTTGACGGTGAGCATCTAGTTGGTCTTTATAAACTTCAATTCTTTTTTTCATATCTCATTTTATTTATTTTGTTTGCACTTTCCCCTTTAAGTCAACAAAATTGGTGCATATGTTTGTATACAGCAACTGAAGCAGATGATTAAGGATTATGCTGCGAAAGACTGATATCTATTCCTATTTTGGCCGATAATTTCTTGTTGAGTTGATGGTGTATACATACATCTCCGTTTCATGATGTGGATCATATTGTACAATGTTTGTCAAGGTTTCACTTGGAAGGCCCGCTGAATGTTGTCTGCAAGATTCATTTGTTCCTCCTCGTGTTGTCAAAAAGTTGAAAGTGGTTGCTCATGGTGTTGGCAAAACTGTATGTCAATGAGCATTGGTGCTCTAGACGAGATTGAGGCCAGTAAGAGTTGGTGGAGATTATGTTTTAACATTATGGAGGTCGGAAAATCTGATGTCCAAGAGTGGACGCGTACTGTACATTTATCTTTATCGTTATTTTTCTTAGATTTTCATTGTGAATATGGTTGTGGTTCTAGTAATTATGAAAGGTGGATTTACTTCTTATAAAATATATCCTGTCCCTTTAGTACTGTACATTTATCTTTTTCGTTGTTTTTCTTTGTTTTTCATTGTGAATATGGTTGTGGTTCTAGTAATTTTGAAAGGTGGATTTACTTCTTTTAAAAGATATCCTGTCCCTTTGATTTTTGAGGGTTGTCACTAGATAGATGAGAAGTTGCAGTAATTGTAATCAATTTTGACATTGGTTGGGTATTATATTTGAGTATATTATCGAAGACAGAAGGGCAGTAGTAGATATACTTAGTTGAATAGTACCACTAACAAAAGGTTAGTTAAAAACTTTTTCTTTTATTATATTTTTATGAAGCTATAGATGCTAAGAAACAATTTTAAAGATCGAACAAGAGTTAAGAGCAAGCTTCTTCGCTCAATAATTCGTTGTGTACGTGCAGTTTGCACTAAGTCCTTTTGAAGATAACTTTGCACTTCATGGGTGATTTGATGTGGCAATCAGCGTGTTGTGTTAGAAGGAAATATCAACTTACTCACGAAGAGACAATTAAAAGTGTCCTAAATACATCTCCTATTATTTAACATTCTGACTGAAATGCGAAAATAGTCCATTTGAATGTATGTAGTATATCATCTAAACTTAATTTATAGTTTTTAGATCGTTTTCAGACTTAAATAAAAATTTTCAAAAAGAAACCAATTAGTGAAAGTC